TAAAGGCAGCTAGAAATTATTCCCACTGTATTGGTGAGAAAACTAAGGCCTGAGCCACACCCGGTCCTTCAGAGCTCAGGGATACAAGAATCCTCATTTCCACTCAAGTCTCTTCTGCCTCCCAGCTGCCTGGAACACTCATTCAGGTTATGTGTTATCATGGTACTAACCCACACAGCCCACCGACCCCCAGCAGCAAGGCCCAGAGCCCAGAACTGAGAAAGGATGTTTCAGGATCCCTGCTCATTGATACACTGAGCCAGCCACCTCTACCTGAGCAAGACAGAGCCCCAGGGGAAGAGACTGGAGGCCCACCTATAGGGACCCCTGTAAGAGAAGCAGCAGCTGTGCCCCTCCCCTGACTCTGCGGGGCCAAACTGGATCAAATTCTGCAGTGAAAGACTAGACGCTAACTCTGTCTTAAATACACCAGCTTCTCACTCACTAACAGGAGAATGTGCATTTTCTGTCCTATGGGATGCCACAAAGCTACTTCCATGGTGAATCCAAATGAAAATGGCCCACAAAAGTTCTCCTGTTTTCTGAAGGGGCTCTTTTGCAAAAACCTTCATTCACCTCTGCTGCCAACACTCAGATCAAAATCTAGAAATTTCCAGCCCCTCAGAAGCACCCTTCATGTCCCAGCCGTGACATTCCCAGGGCGGATCATCATTCAACACATGCTGACTCTTAACCTGGCTGTCTTGTCCTTCCTTTCCCTCTTTCTTTCTGTCTTTTGTCTTTCTGTATTTATTTCTTTTTTGAGACAGGATCCCAATGCTGTGCTTACAGGTGTACACCACTGTGCCTGATTTATACAGCGCTGGAGGTTGAACTCAGGGCCTCGTGCATGCTAGGCAGGCACTCTACCTACCAAGCTGCATCTCCAGCTTATTGCCCTTTTGAATGGACCCTGTGCTTTTCAGTCCCCCAACATTCCCTATTGTCTCACATTTGGTTTTCTTTTTTAAGTGTATTTTTATTTATTTATTTTTTTTTTTTTACTTTTAGTGTGTATGTGTGTGTGTTGGTGTGTGCCACAACTGGCAGGAGTTGGTTCTCTCCTTCCACCTTGTAAGTTCCAGCAGGGTTGGCAGCAAGAGCCTTTACCCTCAGTCATCTTCCTGCCAGCTTGTCTTATTAGACAGCCTGGCCTCAAATTTGCAATCTTCCTGCTTCAGCCTCCCAATAGCTGAGATTACAGGCATGTGTGGCACCATACCCAACTCCCTGTCACATCCTGGACCCTCAAAGCATGTGAGCTGGAGACCTCAGCTTGAAGAGAAGGCACCCAGAGTCAGCAGACAGGCTCCACTAGGCACCTATCCTGAAAGTAGCCTTCATGAGTGGTTGAAACTGGTTATAGGCCCAGCAGACACTAACAGGGGGGCAACCACTGTTCGGCCAGCACGCAATGAATGCAAACCACGCCACTCGGCCCTACAGGGACAAGGAAGAACAAGAGAGTCTGAGGCCTCCAGGGGGGAATCATGTAACCAGGGGTCAGAGTGATACAGACCAGTGGGAAGCACTGAGGAAGGACTGAGGAAGGGGTGGAGGAAGAGAGGGAGGGAAGAGAGAGGGATGGCCTGAGGAGGGAGCCCACTCATACCCCAAGTCCGCAGGCTTCCTGGAGTAGGGGGTACCTGTACAGTGTTGGAATCACCCACATGACTTGCAGAAGTTCAGCCTCTTCTAGAACACAAAATCCTGTTCCATCCCTACCTCTCATCTACAGGAGGCAAAAATGCTGCCATCTGAAATGGGACGATGGAATGCTCCCTCTCCCAGGGTCCAGCCTCACCCACGGTTCACCCCTGCTCTGCTTGCACACTGACAAACAAATGCCCTAGTGCCAAGAGAGGCCCTAGACCAAGGTTCAAAGGAAATGAATGCTTAAAAAAATAACTACAATTGGGAAGCTGGGCATGGTGGTGCACACCTTTAATCCCGGCACTCAGGAGGCAGAGGCAGGCAGATCTCTAAGAGGTCAAAGCCAGCCTGGTCTACATATCGAGTTCCAGACCGGCTGGGGCTACAGAGAGACCCTGTCTCAAAAACAAACAAACAAAAAACTACAATTGAATAAGAAGCCAACCAGTTCAAAGGCAATTCAGTTCATTTTTAAAGCCACCTTTACGTGAAAACATTGCATCTCTTCAACCGGAGAGCCGAAGAAAACTGTTAGGCTTTATTAGGCTAGATACTTTGGAACTGGCTGATTTGGAAATGGATGAAAGCATGCCCATACCTTAGAGTCCTGCTCCATAAGATCTGTGGCTGTGCCAATCCTTGACCCCCTCCCAGACATTCTGAACAATAGTGGAGCCTCCCTCCTCCCGACAGAGGTTAGCTTGGAAAAGACAGAGCTGGGGTGCATGGGTCACAGGAAGATTTTTCACCTGTAACACAATCTGCCCTACCAAGCCTCTGATCCCAGTCTCAGTCAGGTTTAATGGCTTTAGGGCACCATTAATCCTGCAGAGGATGGGGGGTGGGGACACTTGCTACCATGCCTGCCATCATCCTTGAAGCTCAATGCTGGCGACCTCTAGGACAGTACAAGTAGAATGTCCAGTCCACACTAGGGTGGGGATAGGGCATCCTCCCATCAGGCTCTTAGGCAGCCTGTTCTCTGCACATTCCTACAGCTATTCACTGAGAGGTATTACCAATGAGCCAGTCCACTGGAGGAGGGCAGAGGAGGTGGAACACATTTACACAGCTCCTTCTGAGCAATGGACAGTATTCACCTGCCCAGGACATCCTGGAGACAGAGCCTACACATGCAACTTCTAGAAACCCACCTATCCCCTCCTGGATGGAGCAGACATGCAACAATATATTAAGCTGTACAGAAAGCCATATTGACACTTCCATCTGTTCAAAGCCCCACAACACAGACACTCCTGTGCCATCCACAGATACAGCCCCCAGGAGCCACCCAGCCCTAACACAGGGATCCAGGGAAGACATTCCATTCAGTTCTCAGCCCTGTACTCTTCGACTACTACACTCAGAGATGCCCTAGAAGGTTCTACACCCCACATCACAAACTTAACTGAGCACATGAACCCATCAAGGATTTTAGCAAATACAAAGCCTGATCCAGGAGGTTGGAATGGGGCCCAGGGCTCAGCACTTCTAACAGACTCCCCCAGTGGAGAGTCTAGAGATCCACAGGCCACCCTCAGGCAGCAAGGTTCCACTAGGCCTCCACTTACCCAAAGTGCATTTTAAATCAGTACCTCAGGGAGGTGTCCTTCAAATACTGAGTGAAGTAAGGAAGCCCGAACAGTAGAATGACAGGTAAGGTAGCTTTGTGGGGCAGGGGAGCTATTTGGGAGATAACCAGGACCACCTGCCCTGGTAATGTCTGAATCCAGCCCTTTGCTAAGCAGCTATGAGGGGCTCAGCTGATGGAGCTGGAGAGAGCATGACAGGTGTGGGTGAGCGCTGGCCAAAGCTGGATCCTGATCTCCCTCTCCATACACCACCACCACCAGAATCTGTTAGCCTCCAGCACCTGTGCAGAGCCTCTCTGTTCATAGCAGTGACTTCCTAGTGCCAGGTTCCAGCCCACAAGAGTGGTCTCTCTGCCATGAAGGCTTGCTGTCTGCCTTCCCTCCTCAGCATTCAAGGGACACAGCTATTCCTGCAGCCAAGGTGCCCCTTGCCTGCCCCTGCTCAGGAGAGTGACATCTGGTCTTACCATCTCCATAGGTGCTGGCAGTGCGCCTTCCCCTGCACCAGGACCCAAGCCTCCCTTCCAGCAGCTCCTGACACCTACTGTGGGCTAAGCACACTACCTTGCACTTGGTTCCAGCCAGGCTCTGCAAGCCCATCCCCACACTCGGCCTGATTCCTCCCCAGGCAAGGGTCTGGCTCACCCAACACACATGAATCCTCACGTCTCTATCGCTCCAGGTTATTTCAAAATCTAGATTGGAGGCACTTGCTAAGGGAGGATAGGGTCAAGGGCTGCTAATGGATGAGGTCAGGTGTGCGGAATGGGCGGGTCCCTTTTCAGTAGGACTAGGAGCAGGGGGGCGTGTTACTGCCCAGAAAAGGCTAATTCCGAGTGACAGCGACAGGGCTGGAGCCCGAGTTGCAGTGGGGCGGTGGCCTGCGGTGAGGGCCCTGGATCTCCGCTGGCCACTCAGAGGCAGTGGTTCTCGGTGCCACTAGCTCTGAGCTAGATAGAAGTCAATGCATGAGAGCCGACCTGCCACCACCCTAGAACACGCAAGATCAGAACGCGACCCGGCCTGACCTGTGGTGACTACAGTGATCCCAGGGCCAGCTCTCGGGACAACAGTCCACAACCCGAAGCTGGCTAGCCTCAGCACCCGGGAAGCGAAGCGCGGGACACAGGAGGCTCCCAGCGCTGCCAGGGCACGTCTGCCCAGAGCCGGATGAAACTGGGAAGGAGGCATGAATCCCCTGGGGTCTCGCGTGGGCATAAGAACATGGGTGGGGGGAGATCCACGTGACTTTCGATCCTTTCAGTGTCGCTGCCCACCCTGCGGTGAGGTGCCACACCTCATCTCCGCGCTCCAAATGCGTGCCCTGAACTCAGAGGGGACAGGATGGTTCTAATCCCTTCTCCCGAAGTCCTCCCCACCCCAGACCTGGATCCTCAAGGATACGCCTAGAGTGAAGTCCCCCCCCACTCCCCACCCCGAATTTGCGGTCCCAGGGAAGAGGACTGGGGAATGGCGCGTGTCTTTCCAAGGCCTGCGCGCCGAGAAACCGGAGTTCCGGGGAATCAAAGTTGCCGCGCGTCCAGCAGTGGGCTCCGAGCAGGATGCAGAGCCCGGCTTGGGGCGTGGGACAGGAGGAAGCTCCGGGCGCCCACCGTGCGCGGTGGCCAGAAACAAGTGGCTCGGCCGGCTGCGGTCGTTGCCCAGAGGCTCCAACTTTGGTGGCGCGCGGCTGGCGATCCGCGCGGGGAAGGCGAGGGGAGCAGGGAGGGAAGGGCGGCGCGCTGCTCTAGGTACCGTAGAGCCGGTGGAGCGGCTGCCGCGCCTCGGGCTCTGCTCGCCGCCGGCTTGGCCCTGCGGGCCGCCTGCTCGGGTCCTGGCTACCGCCGCGTCTCTCCACCCGCACAGAGGCCGCTCCGGGGTCCACTCGGGCCGCCCGATCGCCACTGGCTGCTCGAGGACTGAAACTTCAGGCGCTCGGGGGGCTCGGACGAGGCTGGCAGGGCACGGTCCGGGGCTCGGAGCCTGCGCGCTCCATCCCGGGGGTCGGCTCCTTCCGGCGCCGCTCAGCGCCCGGCAGTGGTGGGACGCGTCCCCTCGCCGCACATTGCGCAGGGCTCGGAGCCGCCGCCGCCGCCGCTCAAGTCCACGATCAACTTTCCCTCGCTTCCTCCGCCCCGCGCCGCGCGGTGGACAGTCCCCGCCTCCTGACGCGCCGCGCTCCCCTAGGCGAGCTCCGCCCGCCTGCGCCCGAGCGCAGCACCCGGCTCCCGGGACCCCGACTCTCCGCTTTACACCCGACTCCCTGCTGCGGGGCGGAGCCCAGCTGGGTTCCCAGGTCCGGACAGGTCAGCGCCGGCTAAGCTGCCCACTGAGGATGTCGTGGCACCTGCTGTTGTGGCAACTCGTGGGATCCCCTAAAGGGGCAGAAGGGAGCCCGGGAGGAGGCCCAGGTGCGTCCGCGAGCCAGGTCTGCAGGACTGTGATCCGGCAAACAGGCGGGACCCGGCTACAGCCTCCTATCAGCACTCGGCTTCGACCCCGGGCTGCCGTGCACCCGGGAAGCCGGGCCCGCTCTGGGCCTGTGAGCCGGCGCCATCTGTTGGCTTTAAGCGCCCCCTCTCTGCTCCCGGAGTCGCTGAGTGGTCCCTCTGGTCCTGGGCGCTGCTGGCCAGTTCTGGGCTCCCACCATCTGCCTGCGTCCACCCTAGGCTGCGCACCCACCTGTGCCTCTCTCCAACTGAACTCAGACTGCCTTTGACCCTTAGAAACAAGATACCCTGGGTCTGAGAGACCCTAGAGATCCCCAGGCATCCTCATCCATGGGAGACCTCTCTGCCGGCTGAAAGAGCTTTCGAAGCTATTTGACAGCGTAATTGATGGGGTGCACCGCCTTCCCCCGGTAGCCTTTAGTGCTAAGCACTCTAAATTCTCTGATGCCTCTCTACAGGCCAGCTTCTTGAAGGTGGCTGCCTGGTGCCAAGCTCTGGGCCCAGACCTTCTGAGCCTCAAATCATTTCACCTTCAACACGGCTTTCCACTAGGCCCAGAGGTTAGCACAGCTGTCTTGGGAGAAAGAAGGCTTTAAGGAGGCCAGTGACTGGCCAAGTAGTGGAAGCCAGAATTGTACCAGGGTGTCTCTGGATCTAGAGCTCCAGTTCTTTAGCATTCATTCATTCATTCATTCATGATGGCTATGTGCTGGCTCAGTAAAATGGGCTCTAAGAGGATAGTGCTGTGCCTCAGGGGACCCCTCTAAAGGGGAACCAGCCTTTAGCCAGACAAACACATCAACAGGTAACATTCCAGTCAGAAATGTAGCAACTCCATGAATTTCCCAAAGGTCAGGAAGAAGGTGGAGGAAGCAGCCCCAGGAGCTTGCTGGAGCTGTCTTCCCAACTGCAGTCCCACAGAGGGCACACAGGACTGGGGTGGAGGAGCTGATCATTGGCACCTTGGAAGGAGGAGGAGACCTAGTTAACATCTGAAGGATGAGCAGGGATAAAGTGGAATGCTAGGCAGGAGAAACAGCATGTACAAAGGACCTGTGGTGGAGAAGAACTGGCTTGTGTAAGGAAGGCCAGAGACTGGAGCATAGAGTGGGCACAAAACACACAGTGAAAGGTGAGACATCATGCTGGCCTTCATCAGAGTTGTTATTTTTTTAATATTTTATTATTTTTTAATTTATGTATGAGTGTATTGCCTGCACATATATAAGTGCACCCAGGTCCTGCAATGCCTGAGGAGGAGAGAAGTCATCAGATTCCCCTGGAACTGGAGTTAAGGATGGTTGTTAGCCACCTTGTGGGTGCTCGGAATTGAACCTGGTTCCTCTGGGAGAGCAGCCAGGGCTCTTAACCGCTGAGCCATCTCTCCAGACCCTGTTTTTGTTATTGTTTTACAGTGCTGAAGATCAAACCCAGAGCCTTGGGCATGCTAGGTGAGTGATCCACCACTGAGCTGCATCCCAGCCAGAAGTTAATTTTTATCCTAAGAGTAATTAATGTTTCAAAGCAAGTTGCTGAGTGGATGGATGCTGAGAGGAAGCAGTGGCATGATCTGACTTCTAGTTAGGAAAATGGGGACTGGACTGGGAGGTGCTAGGTGACATGGGGAGATGGCTTCAGTTAAAAATATGGACTTGTTGGGGCCAGAGAGATGACTCAGTGGTCAAAAGAGCTTGTTGCTCTTCCAGAGGACCAGAGTTCAGTGCCCAGAACCCACACTGTGGCTCACAACTGCCTGGAACTCCAGCTCTGGGGGATCCAACACCCTCTTCTTGCCTCCACAAGAACCCACACACATACATTTTAAAAAATAAGTATTAACTTGTCAAATGCTATGAGCCCGCATATTCTTTAGAACAAGGGTTGTCAAATGACCGCTCATAGGCCCAATCTGTTCCACCACCTGATTTTGCAAATAAAGAGGTTTTGTTGTTTCATTTTATTTTTGTTTTTGAGACAAGGTCTCCCTATAGCCTCAGCTGTCCTGGAACTCACTATGTAGACCAGGCTGGCCTCAGTTTCACAGAGATCCACCTGCCTGTGCCTCCCAAGTTCTGGGATTAAAGGCATACACCACCATGCCCAGCCTGTAGATAAAGTTTTATTAACAGTAACATTCAAAGGCTGTACAGACATGCTTCTCTGTCCAAGACTCTCTTCATGCCCCAGGCTGTATGGCTGGCAAATCCAAATTCTGGGCCCTCATGGAAAAGAAGCCTGCGAATCTCTGTGGCTCTAAATGCCGCAGAAGTGTCAGAGAATGAAACATATGCATATGCACAGGTGCACACACAAAAACTTCTGGCCCCAGGGCTCACTCCCACAGGCTGTCCAGGAGGCTGGTGGCCCAGACCTGAAGTGGGAGTGGGGCGGGGGGCAGTCAAGGGGCAAAACCCAAGGCTGACAGATGGTGTGTCAGAGGTGAGTGTCAAGGAGACCCCATGTTCCCAGCTTACCAGAGTAGATGGATGGGTTCCCAAAGTGGGCTCTTGGGGATGGAAGGAGGAACCCCCATGTGTTACAGTGGGCATGAGGGTGTCAGTGCACTGACAGAATGGAGCTAGACAGGCCACTGGGCAGAGAAGCTGGGGCCATGCTCTTGGGTGTCCTAGAATCTCAGCTTTAGATGGATGGGGTCCACAGTCAGGAACTCTGGGTTCAAGCTGGATGGCTTTACAGTGGGATATTGGATCCCGGTGTCCTCCTTCTAAATGTCTCCTCCCCAAACCTTTTTTCTTTCTGGTTTGTCTATATCCCAAATCCCTTCACTATCCCTGTTTAAACTGTGACTCCTCAAACTGTCTGTGACCATCTTACATACAAGAAAAACATCACCTCCTCAGATGCGGACATGATGCCTCTGTTCATAAAGTCTCCTTGGCATCCACTTTTATTCCCCAATGTAGGTGATAAGTGCCAAGAACTGGGCTGCCAGTCAGGGTGTGGTCAGCCTGGAGTCTCCCCTATTTAAAAAAGATTTAATTTTTATTTTGCATGCATGAGTGTTTTGCCTGCATGTAAGTGCAATGTGTAAGCAATGCCCACCAAAGCCAGAAGATGGCACTGGACCCCTGGAACTAGAGTTACAGATGGTTGTTAGCTACCATGTAGGTGCTGGAAACCTGACCCAGGTCCACTGCAAGAGCAGCCAGAAACCACTGAGCCATTTCCCAGCCCCCCTTTTATGAGACAAGATCTTGTTAAGTGTCTATGGCTGACCTGAAACTCACTATGTAGTCCAGGTTGGCACTGAACTAAAGGTGACCTCAACTCAGCTTCCTGAGTGATGAAATTACAGTTGTATGCTAACACAATTGGCCAAAACATACTTTTTCAGAGATTTAGATTAAAAGTTGTTAAAATGTCCCTATCAAAAAATCATTTAACCAGGCTGAAGAGATGGTTCAGGGATCAAGAGTGCTTAGTACTCTTGCAGAGGACCCAGGTTTGGTTCCTGGCACCCATATGGTAGCTTACAACCCTCTATAACTCCAGTTCCAGGGGACCTGACACTCTCTTCTGGCCTCTGCTAGGCATACCCATAGTAAACCTACATATATGCAAGCAAAACATTCCTATGGGAACAGTGAGAGAAGTGGGGGGGGGTGAGTAGGAAGGTCAAAAGGGACATGGGGAGGGAGGGAGGGAAGGAGAGAGGGAGGGAAGGAAAGAACAGAAGAAAGGCAAGGGGGGAGGAAGGAGAGAATGAAAGGGAAGACGCCCAAATCTGTTGTGAACTATCTGACCCATGGAGTCCCAGGAGTGGATGGGCCTGCCTTGACACAGTGGCTCCTCTAGAGGAGAGAGGCTGAGTAGGGGAGGCAGAGCCCCTGAGACATTACCACACAGTGGACCTGCACCTTAGCCACATGTCTGAGCCCTGGTTTCCCAAACTGTAAGGGGTTCAAGAGGCTCCCAGCTCCTCTGAACACTGTAGTTCAGGTGGAAAGAGAAAACTCTACAGAAAAACACTCTGTAAACTGAACACCAAACAGCCTCCCCCGAGGGCCACCATTATTGTGCCTACAACCCCCACTTCCTTTGGTGGCCTCTGTCACTGCTTCCCTTTCTGCCTCATGACCAGGCACTGTTTTCTGCCATCTCCCATGCCACCCCTCAGCTGACAGAACACCATTTGCTGCTTCCTGTCAGGTCCCCAGCTCCCACCCCTCTCCCTGGGCCTCTGCCACCATAAAGCAGACACGTGTGTGCCTGTGCTGGCTTTGTGAGCCCACAGAGCCTGGTGCAGCTGTGGCAGCTCAGCTCACAGAGTAGCAGGGCTGGGAGGCTGCCACTTCAGGCTGGACACCCACCTGCAGAGTGCTGGCCTTCAGGAGGCCCCTGGGATGTGGGGTTCCCTGGGCTCAACCCTGGAGGCTCCCCTGTCCCCTATGTGGCCTTGGAGCTGGGCTCTTTCCCACACTTTCTGCCCCACTCTGGCTCCCTGGCCCATCATTTATTTATAAAGTATTCATAGCAAAACGAATGACAAAAAGTTAGAAGCTAATTAAAGCTGGCACAGATTGGCACGTGAGGCCATGAATTATGCATGGGTGTAGAATAGCACTTGGTGGCTAGGATGGGTACCAAGTGCTCAGGGCACTCACAGGAAATGGGTCTGAGA